AAAAAAAAAAAAAAAAAAAGAAAGATGCATGTACAGAAGCATAGTCATCAAGTGATTTTTGTAGTAGTGAGGGAAAAAATAAGTGGGCAACAGTGCTGGGGCAGTGAACTGAGCCCCTGCACCCTGACCAGGGATTATTACTGTGCAGCGAATAGAAAGGATGGAGCAAGGTTGGATGTGTACACATGAAAAATCCTCCAAAATATTTAAGAAAAGATCTAAGCCAGTAAGCACTTAGTAAGCTACTGCTTTTGTTTCAAATTTTCAAGAGAATAAACAAGCCAAAAACCAAAGGTGGATGATGGTAAGTTCTGTAAAACTGATCTAGGCTGACTTGCTTTTCACTGTCGTTATTATTACTGTTAAATCTGCTATCGTGCATAGTATTTTCAATTTTTAAAGTTTTTTTTTCTTCAAGAGAAAGTTTATATACAACACAACTCCAAAAGTGGGGGATCACAGATAATATATTTCCTTTTTCTGATTTCCTATGCTTGGTACATTTTCATGAGAAAAAAAATGTTTACAATATCACATAGTTAATATTTTTTCTTTTAGAAAAGGAAGGAACTGTAGAGTGGCAGAATAGACAGAAAAGATATTCTACACAAGCCAAATCACCTAATGCTTTTAGCTTGAGGGGAAAGCTAGCAGCTGTTTAAGTATCCAAAATGTTCTGAGGATGATGGTGAGAAATTTTTCCCCTAGTTTGGAAGAAAATAGAACAATGAAAATAAACTGTAACTATTTCAAGATAAAAGTAAGAAAACCTGCAGGCACCACCTTCTAAGTGACCCGGGGATTAAAATCAAGAAGAACGCTCCTTAGGGAGGTTCTTGATCTGAACTCTTGTTAGGGATTAAAAATAGACAGGAGTCAGCTACACAGCATGATCTCAGCCCTCAACTAAGCAAAAGAATCTAAAGCAGAGGATTTCTTCAAAAACACTCTCAACTCTGAATTCTTACCAAGGTTATGTTGTACTGTAATTACTGATCATTACAAGCAGAATCAAAGAAAACAAAACAAGTGCACAGAAAAGAAGCATTTGGCAGCAACATGCATATAGAAGTAGCTTAGTAAAAGATATCAGAACATCACCACAACAGACTCGCAGGACAGAGTTACATTTCCTAATCATCTTATCGAGCACACACACAGCGTCTCTGACCTTAGTAAAATCTTTGATGAGGTCTGCTGCTCTCACTCCATTCTGGACATTAAAGCTGATATCAACTTTCACTTCAGTAAAAGAATCTGTTAATTTAATAATAGGTACCTAGAAAGAGAAGAAGAGAAAAGGTAAAATAGCCAAATTAAATGACAAAATTGAGATGCTTGAGTTCTCCATGTTTTCACGAGAACTCAAAAATACGGTGTTCTGAATACTATGCACCACAGCTAACGTGTTCTTCCACAAAGAATTTATGTAACATATTTAGCATTTAACCCATGCAATATATTTTATAACTGCTATCAATAGAAATTTTGTTTTAGTGTCCAGACAACTTTATTTATTAATTTTTTAATTGTATATATTTCAAGTCTACAATATCAGGCGGTTTTGATATATTTATCTTGATATACACAGAAGTTATTACTGCAGTCAAATACACCGATCATTTCATATAATTACATTAATCGGCAAACAGCTGCATTAATTAAAATTCTGAAATCACATAACAAAAAACTTTCTCAACATTACACATACTTTGGAGAACAATTTCCAACTCAATATAAGATCAAGAATTATCAATATCAGGCACTATATGTTTCATTATCACCAAACTGTTTCTAATGAGAAAACTGCTAGATTCTTAACTCATAAATCTCTACAGAGTATTGCCGTATGTATAGAAAAAACCAAGTAGTATTATCTCCTAAACAGAGCACTTTTTATGCACAAGTACTGTGAAACTCAGAAATTGAAAGTACTCACAGTTCAAATGCACTCACCAAAATTAAATTTTAGAAGTTTCATTTGTAAAGAGATTTAAAGATGAAAGGCTGAGTACTTACAGTTGCTTTGTCTAGAACTTTCACAGAATCTTCATCTGCAACTTTGTGTTTCCGAAGGGCTTCTTCCAGAGTCCAGAGGGGCAGGTTCTCCCACTTCCCGAACACCACAAGATCAATGTCACTGAGCACAGAAAGCAAACGCAAAAGGCTGTGAAGAAGCCAGAAACTGGACCTGTTCAAACTGGCACAGAGGTCTGTGGACTTCGGCTTAGTACAATGACTACCTACTTCCCTCCCCAGCCAGCAAGACCAGTGTGTTGCTGCCAACAGTGTGGTTCCGAGGGGAAGTACGGGCTGGTGAGTTTAACAACCTCCTCTCGGTCACCTCACACACTTAGTGCTCAGGTAATGGGGTGATTTTGAAAGAAATAAAACCTCCAAGTGACCAATTAATGTTTATTCTTCATAGACATTTCCGGTATTAACTGTGAGACTTTGCTCTGTGGATGAGCGTGTGTAAACTGCAGGCTGTAGAGGAGTGTGTCAGCCTACTACCACTGTGTAAACACACACACATTTCCTTTCACACACACAGGCATCTCTGGAAGGAGATGTGCGAAACTGACACCAGGGGCTTTTCCAAGGAGGAGAACAAAGGGACAGAACAGGACTGAGACTCTTCAGTCTCATTATTTTTGTGCCTTTTCCAAATCTACACTATAGTAAATACGCTACCTGTTCACAAAATTCAACTAAATTTTTAGAAAGAGTTATTTTGATGAAGCTCAGAACCTAAATGAGGAGAAATATTAATGGGCTTGGAGTTGAATATTTTGTGGCTTTTGAAGGTCAGAGAGCAATGTGAAGAGTGGAAACTGCAAGGCTTCATCCACTTTAACACACTAAGTTAGGAGACAGTGGATGGGATCAGGCTCAAATAAAAAACATGACAGAATGTTTTTCCCTTATAAAGACCACATCATTTCAATTCTTAGGACTCATCCTTCAGGGAAACATGACCATCGCCAAAGAGGGGTCCACCCAGGCTGTGGGTCAGGAGAGCCCTTGTTAGAGAAGACTAAAATGGAACAAGGGTCCAAAAAAGGTCAAGACCTTCCTCAGAAGGGAGTTTTTTGGCTTGACTGTCTGACTTACAAGTGCTGAAACCATAGCTAGTTGCATACAATCCCATCCAGAAGTATGTCCGGCTCCACGCTTAACCTGGCATTTTATCACAATACTACATTGCATCCATGGCAGAGGTTAAGTGCTGGGGCTGACCAGTGCTCTGCATAGTAGTCAGGCTCTAAAATTAGTAACTAATTGATTCCACTGCTATATGTCCCTTTTATATCTCTCTGGTTGATGTCCATCTTGATACAATCATCAGAAGTAATAGTCTACTTTAAGGTAATTCAAATAAAATACAAGTGAATGAATTTGTTTCATAGATCTCATTGGTTTTGTTTCCACATTACACATTCAATGACCAAAATGAAAACACTCTAGAAAAATGTTCCATCCCTTGAAAGCTTCATAAATGTACTAACCTAGTAGGCAAATACAGGCCAGTTTTAAAACTTCCAAATATCTGGACCTGGGGAAAAAAAAGATAGCAAGGCATCAGTCAATCAAGTACCAATCTACAGAGAAAAAAATGTGGAGCTTTGCTGCCCTCTACTGGTATTTTTTTTAATATTACAAGAGCATTTTTTCCTAACATACTTCATAAAGCAGGAATCCTGTGTCTCATAGGTTGACATTCAGAATATAGCATTTTTTATCAGGTTAAAATATAAAATAGAGACTAAAATAGAAAACTTTAAAAATTAATATTCAGGCCTCTACTGTTTCTTTGTAATTCAGATATAATCACAAATCTTGTTTTTTGCTCTCCAAGCACAGGTGGTCTTACATATCACTAAATTAGGCTCAGGCTACTTCAGTGCAAAAGCAGCACAGCCCATGGCCAGCTCCACAGAGAACAACAGGGGCTTTCCTTGTAACATCACATGCAGTGCCATAAACTGGGACACATCCACCTCAACCCATGGAGGACAGTGGAACTCAGACAGAGATGTGAGGCACATAACTGCAACAAAGAACAAACGATGAGAAAAGTTCAGCCTCTGAGGTAAAATGGACCTGTGAACCTAACCTTGAGTTCTTCTCTTGGGAAAAAAAAAGGAGGTAAAATCACCCACCCCAGAAGGGTGAAAATGAATTTGGATAAGGGATGAGAGAGGCCATCCCCCTCAAGATGGAGCACATACTGCAGCACCTCGCAGCCACCCTGGTCTCTGCCCACTAGATGTCAGCAGTGCCTCCCAAGTCACCACAGTCAGAAATGTCTAGCCACTGTCACATGTCACCTCCAGCTGCTTTCCTGAGCAAAATCTGTCCAGTTGAGAGCCGGTTAGAATCACACAGGAGAATTGCAGCATATGGCAGTTGCACAATAAAGTGTCCTTCCCCTTTCCTTTCCCTACAGTGTCATATTTGAAACGTCTTTTGTGAATTAGATAAAAACCATCCCAGCTTCTCCTACCTCCCTGGCTTCTCCTACATTGTTCCAGGAGAGTTTTTAAAAGAAGCTACTGGACACAAAATAACAGATTCTAAAATAATGTATTCTTTGAATGCACAAAACTGTAGAACAGAGCCTCAAAGGAGCCCTAATAACTGAAATATTAACTTAGTACCAATAACAAAACCCCCAAATAAGCAAAGAAATCCTGGGCAAACATTTTGTCTGGGGCTGGCCAGTCAGAGGAAAAACAAGTGTGAAGACAGAGGGAGAGTGGGTGTGGTGGTGCACACCTGTAATACCAGCACTCTGGGAGGCTGAGGCAGGAGGATACTTAAGTTTTGTTTTTGTTTTTTTTTGTGCCAGGGATCGAACTCGGGTCCTTGTGCTTGCAAGGCAGGCGGCAGAACCACTGAGCTAAATCCCCAGCCCCAGGAAGATAGTTAAGTTTGAATCCAGCCTCTGCAACTGAGTGAGACCCTGTCTTAAAAAATAAAAAGGGGTGGGGATGTACCTCAGTGAGGAGGTTAAATCCCCAGTACCACAAAAGAGGGGATGGGACAGGGAAGACTTATGCCTGCATTTGCCCAGGAAAATGACAAAAGACATGACTTTTTTTTTTGGTACTGGGGATTGAACTTGGGTCCTTGTGCTTGCACAGCAGGTGGCAAAACCACTGAGCTAAATCCCAGGCCCCTACATGACATTTTTGTTTAGCTAAATGTGGTGGTTGGAATAAAATAGTGAGGAGAGGTTGATAACTACATCCAGTGAACAGACAACTATAGTAAGGTTTGATTTGTCTGTCTTCTCTTTATTCCAGTGATTCCTAAATTTAGCTCGTCTTTATAGTAGTTGCTATTCAGCACTGAGAAGGAAAAAAAAAAGGCTTAAGGCATCTGAGCCAATGAAAATAATCACCAAGTTCCAAATTCTAAAAGCTGCAGAAAAATTATCTGCCTTCAAGATTTAATTAGGCTGGGAGTGGTGGCACACGCCTGTGATCCCAGCACTCTGGAGGCTGAGACAGGAGGATAACTGTGAGTTCGAAGCTACCCTGGGCTACATAGTCAATTCGAGGCCACCCTGCACTACATCATGAGACTCTGTCTCAAAAAATCAAAAACAAAACAAAAGATTTAACTAGACCCTAACTCTACAGAAGCATTCCCTGCACACAGGTGTCTGTATGAGACACCACCAGGTCAGCCTCCATCCCATACCCATGGACAAGACCTCATCCTAAGCCCCAGCCACTGGGGCAGGGACTCACGTCAGCGCTGGGCCACAGCTCCTTAATCACACTCTCGATCCTGCTCACCACCTCCATCCGCATCTTCTCCTCCTCAGGCCTTGGAGACATATATTCATAAAAATCACTGATTTCTTCATGCAGACTAAAGACAAAAGCAGAAAAGTGAATATGAGCAGGGCCAATCTAATGAGAAATCACTTTCTTAAGTAATCTTCTCTAATTAAGACTTACAAGATAATTCAGCTTATGACCTTATATTTATAGATTTTACCTCAATTTTAATGTTAGAACTCAAGCAAAGCTAAAATGGGAATGTACAAGATTAATCAAAAAAGCCACAATAATTAAATAAAATAAGAAATTCCCTGTGTGGAGCACTTTCTGGCTGCTGGTGATTTTTAAAAAAGAAAATAAAAACATGCAGGCCCTGGTCTCTGCCTTTACACTTAAGATCCAGTAGGCACAAAACAAGAAGACACTGAACACAGGGGACATATGCAATCTTCCTGTTGGTGGGCACCAGCCCTCCTGCCTCCCTGCAATCCATTTCTCACAGGGAGAAAAATAGTTATGTCTTTCACAGCACTTGCTTAATCAATTGTCAAGTGAACACGTCAGCCAGGGAACATCTGGAATGTGTAGAAAGAATGGCTGGCAGACAAGGGCTCCAGGAGGAGCTCACAACTCCCAGAGACCAAGAAGTATAGTGGGCTACGGTGGGCTACGGTGGTGGATGATGAAAGATGCCTCTGGAGTGGATGGCAGGATGTGGGCATAGGAGGCTTTGAAGGACAAGCTAAGAAGCCCAGGCTGGCTGGGGCTAGGGAAGAACTCAATGGTAAAGAGCTTGCCCAGCATGCCTGTGACTGTGGGTTCAATCCCCAGCAACACAGAGACACATACAGACACACACACACACACACACAAGGATAGTTAGTTCAGTTCAGTTCAGACTTTCCCCTGTAGCAATAGAGAGCTAACTTTCTGAGGGTGGAAGGAGAGACTGACTGCAGAAACACAACATTTGACAATTAAACTGGCAATTGTGCAAACCTATGATTGGGTAAAGGGCCCCAAATGGGTGCAGGGAACAGATTACAAATGAATGATTGTTGGTCTGATGTGGCAGGAGAGCAAGGGGCTCTAGAAACATCCCAGATGACAGACATATGGCCAGGCTTTGGGAGAGATGGCAGAAGTGAAAAATGGGGGACCAAGGAAAGTACTGGCCAGGAAACAGGACAAATGGGCTGCTAATGAGCTGAATAAAACAAATGCTGTGGGGCAGAAGGGGATGGTGGCAGCATCCCTACAAAGTCCTGAGACTGTGGAGGGCTTTCTGTGGAAAAGCTTCCCTTGAGTGCACCTCCTGACCACCTGTGAGGTTGGCTACAGGAGAGGAGGGAGAAGCGGGTCAGAGCAGTCACACCACCACCCGGCTCAAGAGAAGGAAGCTAGAAGCACTGAGAAAACAAAAATGATTTTGAGGAAGGAAAAAAGATCTGTGTCCCAACCTCCACTGGATAGAACTTTTGCTACATGGAATGCTGATGCCTTTTAAAATATGACTGATTAAGTAATCAATAGTTTCTGTGCTTGTTTTGATGTTTTGTCTTTAGAGTCAAAAAACTTGAGGGCAAATGTGTTCCCTTGGCCAAGTGACTATGGCTCTTGGTGCTCTTGGCTTCTGTGTGCTCAGGTAATACACAGGACTGGCAAGCAGGACCCTGCCTATTTGCCATGCAATACTGCAAAGATCTGGATTTTAAACTCCACAGAGTTCTGAGGGTGACTCCAGAAAGATCACAGCAGAGTCTGGTGTTTACTTGGTGTGCTTCTGGACACCTTAGGGTCTTTAATTTCTAGAGTTTGGGTTTGTTTTATTTCAAAGGTTCCCAAGTTTTACTGTATGCTCTAAAGTTATCCCCCTTTAGCTTCTTAAAGACAATACCTAAAAGAAAAGGGCTTCAAGAGTATATAGCTTGTGGGCCGGGGATTTAGCTCAGTGGTTTTGCTGCCTGCTGCACAAGCGCAAGGACCTGAGTTCAATCCCTGGTACCAAAAAAAAAAAAAGAGTATATAGCTTGTGTTACTCTCCAGCACAGTCTGGCAGCAAGAATGGGGACCACAAACAGCAAACCATACAGGATGCTTCTCACCTCACTGGATAGGATAATCTGCTATGATCAGTTTATTTGTAGTTCTAAATCAGATTTCCAAAAATATTTGTATTCTAACCAATTGAAAAAAAAATCCATTGAAGTTGACTATATCTACTCTACAAAGGGCCCCTCACACATTTTCTTTTCTTTTTCTTTTTTTTGGTACCGGGGATCAAAATCAAGACCATGCGCTTGTGAGGCAGGCACAGTGCCACTGAGCTAAATCCCCAGTCACACATTTTCTAATTCAAATATAGGCCCCCCCCCAAAAAAAGTTACCCCAACTCTAAGTTAATGTTCATAAGAAAATGAATGACAATCCAGTTTCTAAACATTATAGAGTGCACACGTTCAGACCTTAGGAAGAAATGGGCCTGTAAAGCACAATCCCTGTCCTAGGTAATTTCCATCCAGCAATGAAAAGAAAAGCCACCTAAAGTTGTTTGTGGAGGATGCAACATGTACATCCTGCACTGTTCCACCACAAGCAGGTTTCCGGGGAAAGCAGAGATTTTTCCAGGACCACCACTGCCTAGAAAGAAAGGGACTGCTTGCAGGATCCTAAAGTCCCTGTCACTGTCTGTGTAAATAAAGTCCAATATAAAAGGGGTTTCTGAACTTGATGAAAAGTTACAGAACAATCTAAAATTTTCTTTCAGTGCTGGGATTCTAGGCTTCCTATTAGCATATTAATTTGGAGAGAAATTATTAAAGCTTTTACAATAAACTCTTCAAGCAGAACTACCCTCAATATACAATAATATTCCATGGAACTATCATCTTTTATTAGTGTATGTTTGCCATACCAGAAGAGGGGACAGAGGAACAAGGGAAAGAGCAGGATTATTAAAGCAAAAAACATATGTAAACAGTAAGAACAAGAGGCCCCACTTCAGGTCTGCCATGATCTTCCTACACCAAGCACAAACCTCTCTATCTCCAAGTAGGTAACTAGCCACATGTAAAACATTAACAAGTAAGTACAAAATCTTGGCACACTGAAGTGATCAATTTTCAGTACAGATTTTTAAATACTCTGAGGGGCTTCATGGATTGAGCAGGTTTACTGCTGTGTAATTTGCTTCATAAATTTAAATCTGTCTTTGTGTGTGGCACACGTCTGAGTGCCAAGATGACTCAACAGAAGGAGACCAGAGGCATTCTGTGAGGAGCTTCCGTGTGCTGATATACCTTTATGCCCGACAGCATCCAACCCTGCAGAGAAAACTTCAGTGTATCCATGTTTGTTCCAAAACTCAGTGAGACTCATTACTAAGTACTGCTCAACATCATATATGGAGCCTTAGTTTCTTGTATGTGTTAAGTTGCAAATCACAGCTCTTCTATGATCTGAAGTCATGCATGACCAAAATACTATGCTGTGAAGTTGTGAAATTTATACTGGTCTTTGTCCCCCTTTCCTGGTACACAACTCCTAAAATCCTTGGACTCTCCAAAGTGGTCAGGACCTTTTTCCATGCTAATGAGTTGATTGAGGGCTGGCAGCCCCTCCTCAGCTACAGGATGGGGACTGGACTAGAGCTTAGAGCACATTATCAATGGCCAGTAGTTTACCCAATCAGGCCTATGTAATAAAGCCTCTAAAAAACCCCCAAGAGCTTCAGGACGAGGGACCGGCTGGGGGCCTCCAGGAAGGAAACCAAGCCCTTACTGGCCCAGAGGGTAGTGCATCCAACCCCACAGGGCAGAAAAGCTCCTGCCCTGCCCAGTGCCAGACCTTGCCCTATCTCTTTATCTGACTGTTCATTTGTATCCTTTAAAAATCCTTAATAGGGCCGGGGATTTAGCTCAGTGGTTCCGTTGCTTGCCTTGCAAGTGCAAGGACCCAAGTTCGATCCCTGGTACCAAAAAAGAAGAATCCTTTGTAAAATAAACTGATAAAGCTGAACTTGGTGGTGCACACCTATACTCCCAGCTACTCAAGAGGCTGAGGCAGAAGAAGCCCAAGTTTGAGGCCAGGCTGGGCAACTTAGTGAGACTCTGACTCAAAAGTTTTAAAAAGGACTGTGGATGTGGCTCAATGTGCTTGCCTAGTACACTTGTGGCCCTGGGTTTAGTCCCAGTACGGCTAAATAAATAAATACTAATAAATGCTAATAAATGTTTTCCTGAGTCCTATGAGCTGCTCTAGCAAATTAGCTGAATCTAAGGAGGAGATCACAGCAATCCTAATTTATAGCTGACTGCTTAGAGCATGGATTAAAAGACCACCTGGGGCCTGCAGTCAGCATGCAGAGTGGGGCTCAGTCCAGGACCCAGCCCTCCCTTTGGGATGTCACATTATCGCCAGGGAAGCAGCACTGGAAGTAGTTGAGTTAGAGGACACCCTGCTAGTGATTGCTTGGTTGGTGCATGTGCAAAAACACCCACACACGTGGTCACAGAGGCCAGTCTGGGCTATGAGAGCATAGGAGAAACAGTTTCTTTTCTCCTCCATTTGGATGTCAGTATTTTTTAAAAGGGAAAGTAAGCAAGAAAACACACTGTTCTCTGTTTACAAAAGAAAAGTAATATAAAAGTAATATGATGAAACAAGTACCCCTAAATAACCTGAGAGACAGAGACAGAGAGACAGAAACAGAGAGACAGAAACAGAGTAAATTAATTTGCTGGTAAAGAATTTATATTATTCTCAAAATTAATAACACAAAAAATTTAATGTAACAAGGTGTCCAAAAAATAATTTCCATGTTTAAAAAAAAAAAACAACTCACAGTTATATAAGTCAAGCAGAATCTTAGGAGAAAAAATCAGTTTTGTTTTGAGTAAAGTTCTATCACAGATGGAAAAATGCTGGCCTTCTAAAATTATACTGAATTTTACAGTGCTCCTCATGGAGTAGAGAGGAAGTAAGGACATGGCCCTCAGAGGCTCAGTTTCTCCGGTATAAGAGGTGAGAACCCACTTCACACTCTCCCTAAGCAGCCCTGGGATGGGGTTGAGTTGCCAGGCACCCACA